GTGTGGCCACTTTTTTAAAAGGCCAAAGGCCACCCCCTGCCAGCAGAGAGAGTGTGTGTGCTACCCTGTAAGCGACAGACAGACAGACAGACAGACAGATCTCGTTGACCATTTGACTTTGATTTGTTGTTTGGACTAAGAAAGTACAAGAAGAATGCCATGCCCCGTTGTTTCAGCCACTGCCTCTCCGCCTCTCCGCCTGTGCCACCAGCACTGCCTCTTCGCCTGTGCCTCTGCCGCTTCTCTTGGCTTTGGGCGGCGCTTTGAGACAACAAAAGGAAGACAGAAAAAGCTGAAAGACAATTCGTAGCACTCAATTAAGGCATTTAAAACTACAGAAGAGAAGATAGACAGAGAGGGAGAGGGAGAGAAGAAGATGTGAAGAGGAGAGGCTGCCACTTGTATTGGGTTTATTTCGAGAAATGCCGTTGCCTGGCATCTGTGCATTGTGCATCTGCTGCCTTTGTTTGTGGCACGCTGCAGTCGAAGCACATCCACATGCACATGCACATCCACAGGCATCCATTGTCTATGCAACAATGCAGTCCCAAAAACCAAACCCCAACCCAAGCCCAAGCCCAACCCCAACCCAACGTAATCAAATCCGAATCTGAATCCGAATCATCTCCCAGTGCTCTGGCTGTGCGTCCTGCCGCTTCACACAATCAATCAACAGCCATGGATGCCATGGCCTTTCCTTTTGGCTTCACGATCGCTATCAATGCCTGTGCCTCCCGCAGAGCCAATCGAATGCTAAAGCGCAAAATGCCATAAGTTCAAGTGGTCTTTGGGGATTATACCGGAATTAAATCCCCAAGCGAAATTCGTTATGACTCTTGCATGTGGAACAATAAATCGAAATCGGATGCTGGGAATCGTCGGCTGGTAATTGATTCGTGTCGAGAAAGGTTTTAATGGAAAGTACGGAATTTGCTTTTCCTATTTGTTGGTTTTTTGTTTCCTATTCCCAGCCATAATTTGAGCATTTTTACCTCAACTTTTGGGCAGCTACAACAAATATTTGTGTGCTGATTTGTGTGGCATTTCCTCACTGCCCACTCTGATAGTGTGTCCTGTCAGTCCTGTTCTCTATTTGGTTCCATGTAGTGCCACCACTTGCCCACTTAAAGGATTTTGCCATTCAGCTAACTTAAGCAGCGGAAATTGTTATTACACATTTTGGCACGGCTCTTGCGTTTTTGAAGGGGCTTTGAACTTGACTCATTAAATTTGGTTCCAGGCCGATGCACTGCCTGGCCATCAATTTATTAGCATTTTAGGTAAAGTTATTAGCTTCTGAAGCATCGTCTGATCCCTGACATTTGAGGGTTGGGTTGGGTTGTGTTGGGTTCGGTTCAAGTTTTAGTGGCGCTGCTGCCAACCCTCTGGCCCCCATCGCTCGTTTTATTACAAGAAATAATTTAACGCATCAACGATTGGCATCTCTGGCCATGATTATTGGACACTGGGCCATGTCTATGTCTGCCTGCTTAGTGCTTAGTGCTGGATCCTGGCTCCTGGTAATTGCTCACTGTCTCTCTCCATCTCTCTATATCTCTGTCTCGCTCGGGTAACAGCATCTATAGCCATGAAATTTATGGGTCTTTATGGCCCAGTGACCTGCACACGTTCATGTTCATGTTAAAAGACAAAATTACATTTTGCATTTTGATTAAAAACGTAAGCACCCAGTCCCAGCCCCAGTCCCAGCCCCAGTCCCAGCCCCAGTCCCAACCCTCTCTCTGTCACTCCTTTATACGCCCCACTCTCTCTCTCTTTCTCAGTCTCTAGTTCTTGAGCCTTCCAGCTCCACCTTAAGTCCTCCGTGGGCCGCCCTGTTTTGTCTTGTCCAACTCCTGCGCTTCGCAGCAGAAACTCGAAGCGTGCAGCTCGTTTGCAATTTAATGAAGCAAACTGTTGCTAAACACAACGACTAAGGTCGGTCGCTGATGGGTGCAAAAAGGAAACCACCAGAGAGCGGACTCCCCATCCAAGAGCGACTCCTTCAGAGTGCTGGTGGATGAGTGGACGAGGCGTGGACATGGCATGAAAATCCTTTGATGTTAACGCGATGGACGCTAAGCCATTGAACGATTCCTTCCGCATACAACAGATTCGCCAGAGACAGAAATAGTGAGAGAGCGAGAGCAAAGTGCCAAGTGCGCTTAGCGCATCAAACATCTGCTCCAGTGATGGGCTTCCTCCATCCATTCATCCATCTCCATCTCCATCTCCGTCTCAGTTCTCCTGCAGGCAATTAGCTCTACAAAGGCAGCAGCAGCAGCAGCTGGGACTGCCGACTGTGAGCTACCCTCTGGGATGTCAGAAATATTTTACATATTACCTGTGATTGCATATACGAGATATACCCCACGCTATAGTCAGCGAGTTTTGGGGTTCTCAAAATGAGAAATGATGAAGAGAAAGTGGCCAGAAAGGAAGCATAGAAAGGAAAGGCAAAGCTTGGCCAAGTCAAACGTTTTCGCTGGCATTTGGCCAGCGAAGAAAAGCGAAAGCCAATTCAACAGAGCGACAGGGAACAGAGAAAAAAACGTATGAAATATATATTTAAAATTGCATAAATCAAAACACTCGTGCAGAGAGCAACAGAGAGGCAGGAGAAGCAGAAGACGCAGAGCCCAGAGGCCAACAAGGTTGACGATGCTAATTGATCGATGATCGACTCTCGACAGATGGTGCTTTAATCGAGTCCCCAAATCACCGTGCCACCCTGCCACCTGCCACCGTGCAACCCAAAACCCTAAAAAAAGTTCTCAAACAGGGCAGCGTCAAGATATGTTTCTGTACTCGGAGGGACAACTTTCCTTAGATTCTTTGGTTAAATTCGTGCAGGTACTTCGGGGAAAGTTGAGCGTGTTTTCATGACTCAATAAACCAAAGTTTGAGTATTTTTGCACTGTGCGGAACTTCAATTTAGTTGCAAGAATTCCTTAATTGATTGTTTCTCTGCTTTTTGCTGTTCTTTGCATCTTTTTTGTTTGGATATTCCATGCTGCTGGTACGAGTACGAGTAGCAACCATCCGCTGCATCCTGCACTGCGCTGCTAAGCGACGGCAGGACCTCAAATGCCAATGCCAAAACCCATGCGAAAGTCTCATCTCAATTAAAGCGAACTCTGTGGCTGGCCATTGCAGCAGTGACTTCTTGCTGGCCAGAGATCCACCATCGAGCATCCAGAATCGACATCATCCAGAGCTAAAATCAGAATCACAGTCACAGTCATAGCCGCCGCACAGCCACTGCCGCCTGCCGCCTGCCACTGCCACAGGCAACGTAAGCCGCGATTCTGTCGCGCATTCCGTGGGCGATGACAAAAGGAATCGGGAAATGCAATGGGAAATTGCTCAGACAATGGGCCAAAGCGGGGTCACAGGAACACGTTGCACAAAGGCGGTGTAGGTGGAGGGGGGGAAGTGCTCTCCCTCTCTCTTGCACTCATAGACGAACGCCAGAGGCAAAACGAAAAATGCAAATTGTCAAACATGCAACCAAATTGACGAGAGACGTGGAGAACTGGTTCCTGGAACTCTCTGTCACGCACATCGTGCATCGTGGCAGGGGAGGTGCCGTGGAGCTACCCGCAGAGTGGCCACCCTTCCCCCCACGCCTTCCCTTTTCGGGGCGAAAGCTTTTCGTGCTGCTGAGTTGCAGCGAAATAATCGTACCACAGCGAATATTGACTACATTGACAAGCCGTCAGTCAGTCTGTCCGTCGATTCTGTCACTCTAAAGCTTCAGGCACTGCAGGCTGCCCGGCCCACCACCACCCCCACCACCCCCTCACCACCATGCCATCATGCTCATCTATCCAATCAACAGCTGTGGCAAGGATGCCAGAAAATTAACTCAAACCGAACTGAACCGCATGGCCTTGCCTGCCCCTGCCCTGCCCTGCCCTGTAGCACGTCTCAGAAAATGAGTGCTGTGGGGGGGTGGGGGGTTTGGATTGGATGGATGGGAACTTGTTGCTGCAATTTGGCAGCCATTCGAGTTCCAGGTACAGGTACAGGTCCAGGTCCAGGTCTGGGCATTTTTTAAGCAGGCATAATTAATGGAAAACGGTCCTCGTTTCCTCGGTTAATGACAACATTATCGCTGCTAATTGGCAAAGAGGGGGCGACAGAGACAGTTAGACAGAGATACAGAGAAAGAGAGAGAACTTGGATGGACATAAATGGTGGAGCGGGCAGGTACGAGGTACGAGGTATGGTGAAGTGCCAGTGCCAGCTAATGGATTTACCTCCTCATCATTTAGCGGCTGATTTTGGTATGTGCTGTGATGGACAGGTGGCGTGGATGGGACGGGACACGAGAGCTGCGAATATCTGAGCTTAAGTTTAGGATTAGAGCAGCGAATAAGGAAATCAACGCAGAATGAATCCAAAGGGTAAACCTATATAATACGCTGGAGAATCCTTCAATTGAAATGAAGATGAAGCCAAAGGACGCTGTTTTGTGATCCGTCATATAACAATTTAATTTCTCACCTATCGTGGGACTTTGTTTCCTTCTCTTGCGAATAGAATATACTCTCCCTAGTGACAGCACGAGTGTGTGGACTCCGTTTACTGATTACTGATTATTCGAGTGCTGCCAGAGGATACTTTCAGTGTTCCGGTTCCCTGTTTACCTCCTACTCCGGCATCTGCTCATTCTGGTTTGAAAGTATTTTCAAAAGTTAGCAGAGAATTATTTACATCTGTCTAGCGATTTGTGTTTGTTCTTTTCCGGTCCGCTCTGCTCTGCTCTCTCTCCACAAATACTTTGTTGCATTTGCAGTTGCTCCTCCGTTGGAAAATTTACATTTCACACCCACTGAGCTGACACACACAAATCTTTTCCCACTTTTCCCACTTTTCTCACAATGACTTTGGCAATTAGCAAGGCGCCAGACTTGAGAACCAAACGAACAAACAATCGAATGATCTCAGGACAAATATGGAACAACCACAAGAGACGAAAAGAGAAAGTGGGGATTTTGGAAAAAAAAACAATTCTCATTTATTTATTGTTTGTGTTTGTGTGCCTTAGAATCTATATTAGATTTGAGCTGTGGCCAGATCCCTTGGGAGCCCGGGCATATGGTAGTTAAGTGATCTATGGCTCTCGCTCCTAGCTGTTGTCGGAGATGAGGCGCTGCTCATTGTAGCGTATGGGATATGTGAGGGCGTTGCCCTTGTCCCACGAGTAGAGTTCCTGCGAGGGCAAAGGGCAAAGGTAAAATGCAAACCAAAAACCAAAAGAAAACGGAAGAGCAAAACTCACCACTGTGAGGGGATTGTAGCCAACGGTGGTGGTGTGGCTGAAGGGATTCGAGAACGGCAGATTCGTATTGAGCAGCTTGCCCTTGTACAGATCGACGACATATCGGATCTGCGTATTCTTATCGGTGGCCGAATCGATGGCATACAGATTGCCGCACACAATGAACATCTCCCCGAACTGATGATGGTCCAGTGTGATATTAAAGTTGTACTGCATCTTCAGGGTCTCCGCATCCAACTGCGAACAAAAACAGAAACCCAAAAATAAAAAAAAATGCAAAACCCATTCCAAAGAGGCGCCACTGAGGGAGGGTACGCACCTTTGCCACCAGCGTGTTGTTGGAGTTGTAGGTGCTGTAGATGACCCACAGACCCACCTCGTCCACATTGAAGTCCATAAAATTGAAGTCCGTTGCGTAGAGTCGGTTGGAGGCTGCCACGCCCGCGTACGGCAATTGTGTGGCTACACGGAAACACAAACAAAAAATACAAATCAAATTAAATGTCTCGGTATATATTTTATGTGTGTGTGTGTAAGTGGGTGGTGCATTACGTACTGATTTTCTTGAGGCTTGTCAGATCCAGTTTAACCACCAGATCGGAGTTCCGCTGGTGATAGTAGAACGAGCCATTGAACACCACATGAGCGTTGCCCTGAGGGCAGGAACAAATAAAAAAAAAACATCAATCTGTGGCCTTAATTCTGGGTTGGATACTCACATGAAAGCCCTCGGGTATCTCGTACTTGCGCCTGGGCACACTGTTCATGCGGTACTGTATCCGCGTGGTGAACTCAAACAGATTGTACGGATCATTCTCGTTCGTGACGAACGTCTTCTCCCGATCGCTCTCGGGCGCCGGGTCGCGCAGCCAGGCGCCAAACTTCTCGTTAACGACCTTGTGGAACACGGGCTTGCCCACCGCATACAGATAGCAGGCTGCAGCAGTAGAAAAACAAGAGACCGTGGAGGATTAATAATACCGGATGCTGGGGGGCAACACTCACTCTTGGGTCGCTTGGGCAGCCCCGGATAGCTGAGATTGCCTGTCGGCTGGATCTCAAAGTTGTTCAGTATGGAATCCTTGCACTGGTACAGGCTGCAAGGACAAAGAGAGCATTGCAGTGAGCATTGTGTGTGGCAGGGTTGGGGGGCCAGTTATACCTTGGGTCCGGACACTGATCACAGACGGGACACTCGCTCTCCGGCGGTCGCTGGCCATACACCTTGATGCTGTTGCCCACATAGGGCGTCTCACTGTTCGGATCTTGTGCTGAGGAGTAGCCCACGGATTAGTAGGGGCCCGCTGCCGCTTTGCTGTCTACTTACGCGCTATCTCAAAGTTGACCATGGTGGCATTCAGCTCGTTGCGTGCCACACAGTGGTAGTAGCCAAAGTCGTCCTTGCGCAGATTATTAACGGTCAGCCGCATCGAAGTTTTGAAACTGAAACAAATGGCAGATGGCAGAGCGCAGAGCGCAGTTCAGTGGGTGGGGATTGGATCAATTGGTTCGGAGAGTGGAGTGCTCACCCATCTGGATACGATTCAATGCTGTACTTCTCGCTGGGATCCAGTATCTTGCCATCGTAGGCCCGCTCCCAGTAGCGTATGGCCTCGGGGAAGGCCTCCACCAGGCACTCCAGCGTGGCCGTGCTCTGGTACTCCGCGTAGATCATTTGTCGGTACACCGAGATCATGGGAGCAACTAAATAAATACATTAATCAAATAAATCAACAGCTACAGGGGGGGGGGGGCACTCTTACAGTGAACTTCCACAATGAAGGTCGCATTGGCGACGGGTGCAATCCCATTGTTGGCGTAGCACGTGTAGGCCGCCATCTGGTGCCGCGTGATGTTGGTGAACTTCAGAAACTGTCCGCTGATGGAGGCCACTGCGAGGCAAATCGAAACAGAGCTTAGCCGTGGGCTGGGCTGGGCTGGGGATTGGGTTACGGGCTACTCACTCTCCATGCCATTGACGTTGATGGTGCGGCCGTCCTCGCGGCGCCACTCCACCTGCGGCTGGGGACTGCCGGTGGCCGTGCAGCTGAGATTCAGGGATCGACCCTCCTCGACAATCACCGTGCGATGGAAGTCCGGCGCATGCAGATCCGTGATCGAGGGCGGTATCAGCAGATCGTTCGAGGAGCTGCCATTGGGGAACTGCATCTTCCATGCATTGATGCCGGGCACGCCGGGCGTGCCGTTGGTGCCCGGCTTGCCGGGACGACCGCGCGGACCCGCAATGCCTGCGAATGCAGTGAATGACTCTGTTGACTCTGGACGCAGCACACGGAATGAACGGATACGAACCCTTGAGTCCACGTTCGCCGGGCGGGCCCTGGGCGCCCTTCGGCCCCGTTATGGACAGCCCATCCTTGCCGTCCTTGCCATGCAGCCCATCCTTGCCGTCGCGTCCCGACTGCCCGTTCTTGCCATCGGCGCCCGCTCGCCCCGGTACGCCATCCAGGCCCGGCTCGCCGGGCACACCGTCGCGCCCGTCCAGGCCCGACCGTCCGACGCCGCCCGCATCGCCCTTGGGCCCACGCGGACCAGCCGGCCCCACATGGCCGACACCATCGACGCCGGGTGCGCCGGGCAGGCCGACATCGCCGCGATTGCCCTTGGGGCCGGGTATGCCGGGCAGGCCGGGATTGCCGGTTAGGCCCTTGGGGCCGGACTCGCCCGGCGGGCCCACCGGCGCCGGCGGACAGTAGTCCTGGGTGCCCTTGCAGAAGCCCGTGATAATCTTCTCGGGCACGCGGCAGTAGGTGTTCAGATAGATCCACTCGTCGCCGCCGGGCGCGGCACCCTTCTGGCCTGTCCGCTTGCGGATCTCAGTGTCCTGCTCCTCGAGCGCCATGCGGTGGTTCGGATTGAAGAACTCGATCAGTGGATCAGCTGCAAGTGCTAAACAGGGAGAGCGACAGGCAGAGAGAGAGAGAGATTGGTTAGTTGGAAGTCTGGAGTCTGGAAGTTGCTGCTCTTGCCGTGCATCGAGGCCGGCGACGAGACAACGTCCCGCCGTATCCGCATTCGCATTCGCTGCTCCTCCGTCGCACGCGGGGCGTGCCCATCGATCAGGTTGTCCGTGAACTTGCGCTCGTTCTTCACCTCGCCGCTGCCTCTGGCCATCTTTCGCGTGGTGCTGGCGGTGCTGTCACGCGAGAGAGAGAGAGAGAGAGAGAGAGAGCAAAGATTAGAATGAAATTCGAATCCTTGACGAGGATCCCAACACACCCCGTTTCCCGCTCATGATCCGCTTCGGCTATCCGGCTGAGCATCGCTCGCAGGACATCCTCGGATCGCTGCAACTCCGCCTGGAACTGTGCGCGAAAGAGCCTCGAGTTGCTCTGCGTTGGCGCCGCGTCGCTATCCTGCTGTGTGTGCGTGTAAAAGACGATGGCCAGGCTGGCCAGGATCAGGGTGAGGGCACCCAAATAGATGTAGACGAGCACCAGGGAGGTAACCGCCTTGTTGGCACCGCCAGACGCGGCCCTGTCCCCCACCAGTTGGTCACTGGAGGCCGCTGACTCCAGGCGCCGCGGTGGCTTCGCCTCACTGCTGTTGGCTGTGCTGGACGAGCCGGTCTCGTCCTCATCCTGCTGAATGGAGCGTCGCTTCTTCTTCTTCTTGCTGGCATTGTGCAGACTCTGGTTGACGGCCAAGAACATGTTGCAGCCGCTGTGGTGTCCGTGCGGCTGCTGCTGAAGCAAACAAAAAACACCAACAACAACAAGAAAAAGAAGAAAGGGGAAATTTGTGGGTTTTGAATTTTGATTTCTGGGTTGGTTTTGATTTATGGAGCGCAAGTGCAGTTCGAAAATAAAAAAATTTCCATATTTTTAGATCACAGAAAAATACCAAGGAGTGGGAGGAGGAGGAAGGGGAGGTAGGCACTCGGTCTAATTTTAAAAAGTTTCGGCAAAGCGCCTCTGGAACGTTCAACGAACTGCCCTGCCTGTCTTCAGCTGCTTTGCATACAACTTGCAACATATTGTTGCGGCAGTGGCAGCAAACCTCAAGTGCAAATTAAAATGTAGAATGTAGAATGGAAACTCGGAACTCGATTTTTGTTTTGTTTGTTTGATGGAATGGAATGGAAATTTGTGTGTGTTTTTTTGGTGTTTTTGTTGTTGCTGTTGTTGTTGTACGTACGTGTATACATAAGAGCCGAGCCGCTGCTTGCTACTAAAACTTTTTCACACTTTTCCGCATGGGGCAGCGACAAATGGGAGGCGCGGAGAGAGCGTGAATGTGAGAGCGTAAGTGTGAATGGGAGAAAGATATTGAAGAAAAGACAGAGAAAGAGAGTGAGAGAGAGAGAGAGAGCTGGTGACCAAACGCGTTGGCGTCTAATGCTCGACTGAGTGACAGTTGGCTTTGCTCCGCTTTTCATAGCCGGCAACTTTCCCACGCACTCTCTCTCGCTCGCTCGCTCGCTCGCTTGCTCTCTTTCTCTCATCAAAGAGAGTGTTGCCATCAAAGGAGTGGGGGAGGAGAGAGCGTACGAGCGATAACAAATCGAGTCTATATCTAGATATCTCTGTATATATGCCATGGGCCATGGCTATATCCGTTGACAGCTTTGCGTACGCCATAAATTAATCGGAAAACTTTTGGGGGGAATTTGGAAATTCGTTTGATTTCGGCTAATTTAAGAAAACTAATGGAAATGATTCTTCCAATATTTGTTACTATATATAATCGTATATATCGCAAAACAAGATAAATACAGAGAGTGAGAGAGAGAGAGAGACTGTTGGGGCTCCTCTCTGCAATTCGACGCCTGCGCCGTGGCCTTCCTCTTCCCTTTGGCATCTAACGGGAATGCACATGGTTGTGCTCCCCAAAAGCAGAAAGGGGCCACAAAGAGAGAGAGAGAAGAAACGATGGAGTTGGGTAAAGTCTGGAAATATCCTCAACAAGTAAGAAGTTGAACGGTGAACAAACCGAGGCTTTGGGCACCGAGGTAAATTTGCGGAATTGCATTGCGAACTGTAATAGTACGAGGATAAAGATATCGATACACAAATGTCAGTACATAATTCACTTAAAGTTAACTGAAAGGCTACGGTAAGGGGCAGCTTTCTCGGTAATATCGGGGTTCACGGGGATCAGACTTGAGAGTTACAACAAAAAAAAATCAAAGTCGAAAAAAGGGTAGCTACGCTTTTTATGTGAGATATACCGCAACAAGATATACCAATATAGTACGAATTTTTTTAATAGAAATTTCAAAATAAGATTTATTTTTGAAAATTAAAAAATAAAATAAAAAATATTAAACAAATAAATAATTTAAAAAAAAATTAGAAATCAGATTTATTTTTGAAAATTAAAAAATAAAATAAAACTAACAAAATTTAAATAATAAATTATTAAAAATAAATTAATTAATTATTAATTAATTAATTAAAAATAAAACCCTCAAAATAAGATTTATTTTTGAAAATTAAAAATAAGGCTTATTTTTGATTTTTGTTTTAAAAATTGCTTCCCTACGTATTGTACGTCTTTCTGTAGCCTTTCACTTAATGATCATTCATCAGTGAATTTTCCAAAGTGGCTCGATCCTCAGAAGCAGTTTTCTTCAAGTTTATCCAGTAGAAATGATCCAGCTAGTGCTGGTGCTAGATCACTTAAATAAATTAAAAGTGTCAAATAAATTTGGAGAGCATCATTAAGCATTGAGCATCACCACTGTACGTGTAGCTAGTCGCTCCGCTGTGTTCCCGCCATTTGTGTTTAATTTTCATTTCCGTTGCGAAGGCGGCAACCGTAACAGAATTCAATTTGCAACGCTCCGCAGCTCAATGAGCCATAACGAGCTCAGCTCGTTAACAGGATGGCGGTGGCGGTGGCGTTCGAGGTGGCTCCTGGACCTGCATCAAGGAGCCAGGAAACATTCAACATTCAATATCCACTTTGGGCGCAGTTGCTGAGTTGCTGCATTAGTTGCACAAACATGTCAAACACGGCAAAGGCCAATGCCAATGCCAGCGTGTAATTTGGCAGCTGACAAAATTGAGAAAGCCGACCAGCAGCGCGATTTGGCACTGTTCCCGTGTATGGTGACGGCTTAGGGTCGGAGTCCGTCTGGTAAGCGGCTCTGCTCAGTGCCAAATCATCAGCAACAAGCCGCAACAGCTACAGGTACAGCAACGACACTGAGCGAAAAGCCAAAACCCAATTTCTGAATAATATACAAAAAATAATGCAGAGGTTCCTTCAAGGAATCCTGTGCTTAAACAAATCCAACCAAAGTCTATTGGTTTGGGGAAATGTTTTCCCATCAATTTCGTAAATTGGTACAGTGCTTTTTTTGCTCAGTTAAGTTTTTCTACATCAGCGTATCGGCGTATAGTCAATAAATCAAAATGTCAAGATGATAGTCTTCAAAGTGAATGCTGAAGGTGAAGCAAAGCCAAAGCCAAAGGCAAAATTCAATGAGTGGGAAATCTCCAGACAGCAGGAAAAAAGCCGCTATTAGGCCATCGCTTAATTTTTGCCTCACTGCTCGGCCCCCATGGAAACGACAAATTAAATGACAAGAAACCGACTTTAAGTCCCACCACCAATCGTTCAATCATTCATTCGTTCATTCGCTCATTCACGACGTGTGAGGTGTAGCCAAACATATTGACTTTACCCCTGCTCGTCGTACCCCTTACAATGTTGCTTATGAGTAATAAATTAATGCAAATTCAAATGCAAAGCCAAGGAGCGAAGGCAGTTCCGTTTTTTATGGGCACAGCAACGTCGGAAAGTGCATTCCGAGTCGACAATAGAACTGCAAAACAACAGACTAACAAAAAACCATACGACAATACGGACCCTTAAGGCGGCCAGGGGGAGTGCTGCAGAGCTGAAAGTTTAACATTTTATTAGCATATTTCCCAGGCATCCGGAAGCTACGTATTTCAGGCTCTGGCTACCCCCCCAATCAGGCTGATTGAAGCGTAGCACGAAAAATGTGCAAAGCGCGATTGAACATATTTGAAGAAGTTAAAGAATTCAAAGAGATGCCATTGTTGATGTTTCCAAGGGGATTAGGTCTCTCAAAACAGGATCACAGCAGAGCAGGACCTGCGTTTGCACTTGAACATTTATAGTTTGCTTTTCTCAGAGGTCCTTGAATTGTAGGAATTTCCGAGGCAACATTAAGGAAATTTTAATTCTGAAAAATAAGTCTGGGAAAGGGCAAAGGGAAAGGGCAAGGAAATCACTCAACAGCAGATGTTGTACGAGTAAGTGCTCCTCAAAGCAGTGAAAATTGCGAACATTTGGCGCGTATAAAATGTGTCAAAATAAAGCCAATTGGAGAGATTTTATAGGAGCACATCCGAGAGGCAATAAAGTTTGTGATTGGCGAACATTCCACGTAATGGGGCATTCGCATATCTGGCTGTAATTATACCCGTACTCAAAAAGAGTTAAGGGGTAGATTAGATTTGTGTTAAAGGTGGATGTCTGTCTGTCCGTCCGTCTGTCCGTCCGTCTTGATAAGCGCCTGGTTCTTAGAGACTATAAGAGCTAGAGCAACCAAATTTTGTTTCCAGACTCATGTGATAACACACTGCTACAAGTATATTTCAAAATTTTGCGGGATCGATATTGTAGATGTAAATGGAGATAGCAGATGTAGCAAAAATATATACTGACTGATTACGGGATAAAAGTGGAGTCGCGTCCACAGAAGCGACTCACACGTTCCTTCTCGTTTTATATTGCTCAGATCCCCATTAAAGCGCCAGAAAAAAAACACCCAAAAAATGGATAAATTTTCTAACTGCCGCCTGTCGCAGGATAAGTGGACGTGGGCGTGGCAAAGACGAAATTCACAGCGGGAATTTCTGACAGCCTCTCCACGTCTTGTCTCCTTTTCAGTTTTGCTCTCGGTTTGCATTTTCCTTTGCATATTTATGAGGGAAGCGGCAGACGGCACAGAGGGTACACGGCACACACGAACAGGGAACAGGAGCAGGAACAGGAGAGGGCTTTAACGCTGAGAAGCATGTAGCAAGGGCTGGGGAAAATGGCGAAATCATTGAACAGCATCGAGTGGCAGCGCTTATCTCTCGTCAGCGGGAGTCAGCGCCAAACATAAGCAAAGTCAAAGCGAAGCGAAAAGAATGCGGAAGCGAGGCAGGCCTGCTGACTGACGATTGACAGACTTGGATAGGTCGAACCCTTTGATACCCTCGTATGTGCCATAACATTTTGATCATAATGGATGCAGCTGCAGCAACTCCACTCCAACATCTTAGTTGAAGTCTTTTCTTCGCTAGTCTCTTCTCTATGCTTCCAATATTTTGGAAATCTGTTATTGATTGATCAAATATTAGATCAATCTCCGACTCATATCAAATAAAAAAGCTTGAACCGACTTTTTGGTGTATTTACCGGGGTATTTGATAATTCTTCCCTTGTGGGCGTGGAATTGGCTTTCCCTCTTGTTATTTGTTACTTTTTGTTTTTGGGGGGCGGCCCCGGGTAAAAAAAAAAAAAAAAAAAAAAAAGAAGAGGGGGAAAAAGAAAGAGGGGGCCCCCCAGAAGCGACCCAAACGTTCCTTCTCGTTTTTTTCTTTTTTTTTCTGCTATTTTTATTGCTGTAAAATCCAATAGAAAATTCGCCTGCTCCAGAGTCTTTGATGGCAGAAGGGTGTGTGGGGGTTGAGTTTGTGGATGCCGCAGATAGATGCCGAGCGCTGCCTCCGAGCACGTGCTTCTCCAGAGCAACAAATTCCGAAAAGCCGAACGATGAACGCTGCTGCTGCTGCTGCTGCTGCTGCTGCTGCTGCTGCTGCTGCCGTCGCTGCTGCAGTCGATGCCGCAGTCGCAGCCTGCGCTGGCGTAGATGCTGAAATTTTCGAAATTGGAAGTTCGAAAAGCAGACAAAAAAAAGCTTGCAAAAGCTCTGGTGCCAGAGGGCGCCAGGCTCATAGCAGGACAATTGAAATTCAAATTATTTATTCGTTCTCCCGCAAAATCGAAGATAGCTTTTTGGGGCTTTCTGGCCCTCACGCGCGCTCTCTCTCTCTTTTTCTTTCTCTCTGTCTGTTAAAAGCTTTCCTCAGGCAAAAGCCCGCAATGCAGACGTCACAATGGCCCCCAATGTCAATGCTCTTTGCGATTCAAAATCTTAAAAAGAACACCCGAAAAAAAAACACAAACGACATAGATAATCATAATAAATGAGGTCACTGCGGCATCCAACAGAACTCAATTAAAAGCCACTAAAACTAAGAGGAAGAAAAAAAAAACATTTAAAACAAATTAAAAATCAACCGAACTAATCCTTTATTTTGTTCTGCCACTTTTCTTCTCTTTGCAGGTGAGTTATCCAAACG